TATGCAAAAATTATATACAAAACAAAAAAAATCTTAAAAAAGCCTGAAAAAACTATGAAGCTCAACCCCAAACAAATTAAACACTGAAGGATGTAACTGAGGAAAAAGTCAACCGCATAAAAAATATATAATTAAAAGAATGAGGGTAAAAACCAAAATAAAAAATTAATTTGAGAGTATCAAAAAAATTGAAGGGTTAAATTGAAAAAAAAACTTTAAGGAAAAAAAATCAACTGAATATGTGTTAAGTTCGAAAAAAATAAAACATAAACTTTGATTGAAGGATGAAGTTAAAAACCAATAAAACTTTAACAAAAAAGTTGGGGTGGAAATGAGGGTGGAAATGAAAAATCAAAAAATAAGAAGTAAATTAAAAAAAAATATGACAAATTATAATTTAAGAACTAAATTGAAAACATAAAAAAAACTTTTCTAAAAAGGTAAAGGAAAAAAACTAAGCAATAAAAAAAAGACTAAAATTGAACAAGAAAAAGAAAAGAAAGCAAGCATGTATTTTCTCTATAAGAGGGAGAAAAGAAGAAAGGGGAAAAAACAACAATCATTGACAAACCGTCCATCAATCATCATCATGCATAACACTAGAAGGAAGAGGACGTGATAGTACTTCTAAAAACTCAGTAGAAGGTAGGGATTGGACACAGGCGGCGTCACACTCTTTGCCCAACAAGCACAAACTCCACCCATGCGCCGCTAACTATCTTGAATTAACAAATAAACCAAAAAAACAAATAAATGCCCCCTTTACCCTACAAATAACAAATAAATCAAAGTAAAATGACTAAAACACCTCTAAATGCATAATTTATCTTATCTTTTCTAAGAATAAAGACATATTTTAACTATAGCTCAATTAGGAAAAGCCAAAAAAAACTCTTGGTCAATAACTCAAGTATTTTTTTACCTTAATGACAAAGAAGTATTTTTACTAATTTAAAGTTTGTGAAAAGGCTAAAAAAAACTCAAAGCTAGACATTCTAAATTATATTGACCTCGAGAGTAGAAAAATATTTTTAATACACTATAAAAGAAAAAGATTATGATATCCCTGTTGATCTTTTAATAACTAATGAGTCTATAAAAAAAAATCAAAATACCCCTATAACTAAAATTTTTAATTTTTTCAACCAAATAATAGAATTGCGATTTCACTATAGCAATCTATATTAAAATATATCTTTGATCATAGTGAAAAACTCACGCCTAATAATTTTCTACTTAATATATATACACGAGATTACATGCCCTCGTGCTGCTGCAGGCTTATAAAATAAATATACTTGATAGTGTTATAATTGTGAACCAATGCTAGATAAATAATAAAAACTAAATGTATGATTAAGCAAATATTTCATGATGGAAAAAAAAAAGTTGTTATAGTAATCAAAAACTTAGAGACTGAATAAAATAATTTGTAGTGTTTGTTGCTTTCGCTGTTTTATAAGAAAAGATATAGTGCTTGTTGCTTTCGCTGCATGATTTAACTTTTCTGTTAATACAAAGCAAAAAAATTACAAAACTAAATTCTTTATCAACTTAATACTAAAAAAAAACCAACATAAATAATTTTGGAAAGAAAAAAACCCATTAGGGGAAATATTGTAGCAATTGACAATGTTTTGTGAGGAAAACTACAGTGCTTTCCCTAATAAAATAAAATAAAAAATTATTTAGCGAAATATTGTAGCAACCCACAGTGTTTTGTGAGAAAAACTACAATGCTTTTGTCATATGATTTAACTTTATTATAATTATAATTCTTAACCAACTCAATATTCAAAAACAATTGACAAAGATAATTTTGGAAGAAATCATAAAAAAATCATATGGAAAAACACTACAATAATTCACAATATTTTAAAGAAAAAAATTATAAAACTAAAATTATGTTGGAAACACTGTAGCAATTCATAGTGTTTTGTGATGAAAGCCACAGTGCTTTCTCATATGATTTAGCATTATTTGTAATGACTTTTAATTGTAATTCTCAAATAAATCAATATTAAAAAGATAAAATTAACAAAGATAATTTAGAAAAAATATATAAAAAAAAGAACCATGTGGAGAGACATTGTAGAAATCCATAATCTTTTGTAAAAAAAGCTATAGTGCTTTTCCCAAATGATCAAGCTTTATTACAAATTTAAATTATAACCAACTAAATATTAAAAAAAAAAAATCGACAAAGATAATTTTGAAAAAAAAAATATTACAAAAAATAAAAACATAAAAGAAACTGAAAAAAACCATGTGAGGAAAAACTGTATCAATCCATAGTGTTTTGTGAGGAAAAACTTGTATTTGCTTTAATTGCAATTCTTAACCAGTTTAATATTTAAAATAAAATTGACAAAGATAATTTTAGAAAAAAACATAACAAAACAGAAAAAAACCATGTGAAAAAAAAAATATTGTAGCAATCCACGGTAATTTACGAGGAAAGTCATAGTGCTTTCGTCATATATTGTAACTGTAATTTTTAACCACTTTAATATTAAAAAATAAAATAAAAAAGATAAATTCAAAGAAAATCATAAAAAAAAACCATGCAAAGAACCATTGTAGCAATCAACAATATTTTAAAGAAAAAAATTGCAAAACCAAAATATTAAAAAAATAAAATCGAAAAATATAATTTTATAAAATAAAAAATAAAATAAAAAACTATGTGAGAAAAAATCGTATAAATTCACCATATTTTAAAGGAAAAAAATTATAAAGTGAATTTTTTAACCAATTTAATATTTAAAAAGTAAAATCAATAAAAATAATTTTAAAAAATAAATAAATAAAAAAGAAAATAAAGGAAAGTTAAAAAAAAAAAAAGGAAAGTGATTTTGGAAAAAAAAAAAAAAAAAAAAAAAGAAAAAAAAGGAAAGTTAAAAAAAAAAAAAGGAAAGTGATTTTGGAAAAAAAAAGAAAAAAAAAAAGAGGAAAGTTGGGGGGGGAAAAATTCACAATGATTTTAGTGTGGGAGTAACAGTGATTTCCCCCGCTGTTTATAGTATAGTGTAATATATAGACAAACTTTCTGTCAATATTTATCAACTTCAATTTAGATTTAGGATGAGGAATGAATGCGAGCTAGGACAAAACTCAATTTATTCAACCGAGGAAGAGTTCTATCCTTGGACTCAATCTCAACTCTCTTTTACCAGTATTTCAACTTTTAAATACATTCTGGCAGTAACTCAATATATATAATAAATTCATGCAGATGACAAATACAAACCTAGAACAGAACAGACAAAAGTTTGCCTAATCAATTTGTAGCCTTCTTCTATAGACATTCAACCTGGCTCAGTATCGCACTTTCCTGAGGGGCCTCAGCATTCCCTTCCTCTTTTCAATTAGCCACAAAACCATCAGAGTAATAAACTACTTTAAACTGTAGCAAATCAAAAAAACTCGATGAGATACAAAATCTCCTCCTGCGTTTCAGGAGTCTCAATCGTCCCCGCTGAGGTTGTGTTTTTTTTTCCCCACACGCACCCTCCCTGAGAACACCTAAAAGTACATTCAATCTTTCATTTTCATTCCAATTCTCCAATTTACGTCCCCTTCCTCCCTATTCAGCCAAAACCTCTGCATGGGAAATGATAAGTACCCCATTCCCCTCCCAGCTACTTTACACCTGGTAACTCAGCAGGTCCTTCAATCCATCCAGACAAGGAAGGGTAAACATAATTTAAAAAAGATGCAATGGATGGTAACTTCCACTGCATTTTGATGCGCTAATCTTTTATATGCTTTCCTGAAAAAGGTGGACATTATAACTGGTGATCTGACAGATAATATGATGATTACTCATTGTCAACCTGATAATCTACCGTCGATTCCTTGATCGATGTTCTTTGTTTCTTTCGTCCAAGGAGAAACTATAATTAAAAAACTTAATCTTAAGCGAAAACAGATAGCAACCTTGCTAATCATGGGAAATGTGGAGTTTTAAACTTGACCCTAGTTAGAATGGTTGATGTCAGGTTGAAACTGAGATGTGTGGATCCGAGATTATCACATAGCAGCTGGGGAGATTCACCGACTAGAAAGGCAAGTTCCTTTAAAAGTGTGGACAGCCACATTGTTTCGGAAGCTGCATTCACTAGTGCCGGGTATTAAGCCTCTGTTTTGGATCGTCAGATTGCTTTTTTTTTCTTTTTTTTTTTTAGCTTCAAGAAATAGGATTAGAACTTAAGAAGTTGATTTATGCCGGGGTTGATGTGCGGGCATTAATGTTTCCAGCCCAATCAGCGTTAGAGTATGTTAGGACCGGAGGTCCAACATTGGTGAGTTGTATACCATAAAAAATGGTTTGTTTTAAGTAGGGAGGAGTCTTTTGATTGGTGTCCAGTTATTTGTAGTCGGCTCATGCATAAGTTCAGAGTGTTTGTTGATTGCAAATGAGATGTCTGGGCTCGACAAGGAGAAATATTGAAGCCTGCCAATTATTCTACGAACGTTGGAGCTGTCCATAGAAGCGCTGCCATCAATTAATTTAAGAAATTAAGTAATAGATAGAGGTGATGAGACATTCTTCGCACCACTCATGCTTGTTTGTGCTAAAAGATCACGCACAGATTTATGTTGTGACAGAAATAAACCTCCATTGGTAGGAATCACTTCAACTCCCAAGAAGAGATAAAGAGAACCCATATCTTTAAGAGAAAACATAGCACCCAATTGTTGAATAACAGATGCCACAAAGGATGAATTATTCCCTGTAATTACAAGATCATCAACATCAACATAAACCAGGTACGATCCTTGGCTGTCAATGAAAACAGAACTAACAGCCCTGGAACTGTGAAAACCCAACCGAAGAATGGCATTTCTAAGTGTTGTGTACCAAGCCCGTGGGGCTTATTTAAGGCCCTAGTCTTAGCCTGTTAGACAAATCTTTAAACTTGGGCTGCTCCATAAACACAGTTTCAGTTAATTTATTATTTTTTTTAGATTAACATGTATTGTGTACATCCATTTGCCTTAAACCCTATCCATTCATGACAGCAAGTGATAAAACCCCTCATGTCCCCCAAAAATACCATGCAGCTCCTCAAAGGCCAGTGATGACTCCCTGGTTCAAGCTGGTGCTGCTATTTCCTGAAAGTCTGTACCTAAATCATTCAACACAGAGGCTTAAGTCATTATCCGATATTAGGTGTTCAATGATTGCGATTTCATTAGCCTAGGCCTTTACAGCGTGGAGATAGTTTGTGATCGACCGATTGCCACGCTGCATGGGCCATGCTGGATTAAGGTGAGCTCCTCTTTCAACTGCATAGAACTAGTTATTACTCAGGTAGCGTGTAAGGTTTTTAGCTTTTTTCAAGCTAGCATATAGAAAAGATGTGGAACTCATCAACAGCGGAAGAGGGGCACCGAAAAGCACCTTCGATCATAATAGAGTAAATAGCATAATAGAGTAAATCATAACCTATAAGGAGTGCTTCAAATTGAGCACGCCGTTGAAAAAAGGAGGGAGTTAAGTTTTCATTGATTTGGGCAGTGATGTTGAGAGCAATGAGTGTTTTATCTGTTGCGAAAGGAGGTTAAGTGTTAAGAATAAAAATTGGATTTTGATAGGAGAAGGGAGTTATAATGGAGATATGGATTGTTTGCTCGATAGAGTGTGGCTCTTCTGATACCATATAAAGAAACAAATATTGCAGTAGTTTCAATGAATTATTTCCCACACATTTCATTGATGAGAATTATGTATTATATTATATACACAGTAGTTTAGGAATTATACGAATGTAAAGGCTAAACCTATGCTTCCGTAACAATGTACAGCTATAAAGTTCAACTTAGAATCATAGGATTTTAATTGCATAATATTTGAGATGATTTTAGGTTAGACTTTCTCTGTTTTGTGATCCACGAATTCTTCCCTTCCCTTATAAACATAAACCATCGTTAATGCACTCAATTCACAAAATAGATTAATCAATAATAAATACTCAAAAAACACAACTGAAAGAAGAAATTTAACTTTTACCTCCAGGGCATTGATCTTGTCTGACAATTTTGTATCCTCTTTATGTAAGTTCCATATCCAGTATTTTTCACACTATGAAGAAGTAATCAAATGCCAACAAATTTAAAATTTAATAACTTCAGCTGAAAAGCAAAGTCCAGGTTTGCTTCCAAAATAAAATTCAGGTCCAATCTTTTGGAAGAAAAATCTAAATCTTCACTTGGTCACACAAAGTTCAGCCCAGCTTGCTCTATCATGTTTAAAGACATAAACTACCAATCTAAATAATATAGGTGACCCACAATTGACAAATATTTAAGTAGGAACAGCAACTGTAGATATCCTTCAAGCACCAAACTATCTGAAACTCGAGAAAACTTCCTTGTAAAGGAAAAATGTTGTTTTTAAAAGAACAATAATTGGTATGATTTCTAGTATCAGAATCCAGACAACTTGCATCTGTATTCATACACAACTTGATTAAGCCTCTGTCCCAAGCAGTCAATATCCACAACTTGAAAAAAGAAACCAGAGATAAATAAAAAAGAGGAATGAGCTAACAATACACTCAGTTATATAAAGTTTGCAATAGGAGAAATTGTTTATTAATGGGATTTTAAACTTTCCAATTTTCTCTCTGTTTCTTTTCTTTTTATTGAAATTGTTTTCTTCTTTAATGTCATTTCCCTAAATCAGCTGGTTTTGCAGGCTTCATTTACTTGTTATGAAATGGCTTCAGACATATGGCATGTTGACATAGTAGTATAAGATAATACTAAATTAGCACTTGTTTGCTATGTCGGGCACAAAACAATAATTTCTATTTATGCAGATTTAAAGCCATCAAAGTATATAACTTATCAGTTCCAAAAAGAAATTCATTTCCTATCTCATTGAACATAACTTGCATATACAAAGAAAAACCACCCAGTTACAACTAGAGAACGTTAACTCCATAAATAGTGCTTACCCTATAGATATAAAGGCGAAGCAGTACTTCATGTTCCAAAGAATTATCTCCCATGTCCAGATGAGATTCAGAAGTGAACTCATTATGACCAATCCTTTCATCTTTCAAGTGGAAATCTTCAACCAAAACGTCATCTTTCTTTTCAGCATATGTTTCAAGGCAGGTTCATTTTCTACAGTTTCTTCTACTCACTGAGAGGTCATCTTGCAAACTTCCACATATGGGGAACGACCTTCACAGAAACAGTGTCAACAAATAAAGCAAAGAGGACAACTCAGGGGGGGAATATCTGGCACAATTCCTCAGAAGAAATTCGTACTGAACTGAAACATAAAATAGTAATGTTTTTGTTTTACTATATCGGAAGAAAAAATACCAAATAGCATACAGTGTTGCTTCTAGACTGCGATGAACTTGCAACTCAGTCTTTGAAATTATCTCCACCACATAACTAAATGTTGAAGGCCCTCTCCTCTCCATCACCATCTTCTGGACATCCCTTCGGTTTGCTTCTTCATCCCATAGTGTCACACTCTAGAAAATTAATTGCATTAATATAACCAATTAGACATGTCTCTGTTTGCTCAGAAATTATTAACATAAAATAACAGCATATAAAATAGTAACAAAGCAAAGAATGAGTAACTAAAAGAATAGGGAGTCCCTCCATTGATGATGGTGAGAAAGAATATAATAGAGCTGTAGTGGAATAGGATTGCACTGCAAGTCTGCCACTACTGCTATGATTTAGCAGCAATGTGGAGAGCAGTCATTGCAAATCTCGCCCAAGAAGCCACACATTAAGCAAGAATGAAATCAAAAGAACAAAGTAAAAACAAAACAAAAAATAAAGGAAGCAAAAAGCAGTGTGGAATTGCAATAGTATCTCTTTGCTATTTAATTCCACATAATTATACTGCAGTACAAAACTACAAGCTTCCTAATACACATATGAGGACAAGTTGATCGGCTTTTGTATAATAATTTCAGTGCTTATGATTTTCCATGAAGACAATGTCACTTCTCTTGATACTATTACGTCTTCTTTCCTTTTCTGCATTCCTTTTTCTTTCTCCTTTATTTATTTCACAAGAATTATGCCTTTGATGGCAGCTTTTTTTTTTTTCTTTTGAAGAGAGAGAACATGAAAACATTATCAAAACTTGATGCCCTAAAGATTGACACATTCTTGATCCTCAATTCAGTAAAGGAAGCATTTGAGTAAAATAAAGAAAGGAGAAAATGAAAATGTACACCAAGCAGCGACACTTTTACACCTTGGTGGCAATGTTTAACATATTACGTGGAACTCTGCCACTTCAATACCTTGTCTTTACCACTGCTGCCTGTGTCCTTAGGCCCTTAATATGTTTTCGAAAAGTCATTTATGAGGCTCTGACATTTTCCCTGATTTGCCATGTGGAAACACTTTGATGCAATCAGTAACACATTAACACTCAAGTGTCACGCTTCAAAGAAGAAAGTAAGAAAAAGACAAGCTGTGAAAAACCTTTAATGCAACATCAATAACACATTAACACTCAAGTGTCACACACTTCAAAGAAGAAAGTAAAATGATGTTAAGCTGTGAAGTTCAGAACTGTATTCTACACATGCATGCATTCTCACAACTTACTTTATTTATCACGAGGAAAAAGAGAAATCCTTTGTAAAATCATTGACTTAGAGGTAGCAGTTTTGGATTGTTGAGCAATAGAAATTCCAGGCGCTGAACTGTTTAAATGAAAGAGATTTTTAGCTTCAATACACCCCTTAGCAGCACTTGATGATTTCTTTATTCCCATGCTGTTGTGAACAGCCTGAATCTGTCACCAAACAGCCTCCAATGGGAAAGGTTAGTTGTTGTTGTTTGTTTTCCCTTAACAGCCGTGCTAGGTTGTTGTTTAAAAAAAAAAAGGAACTGGTCAGGGTAGTAGGAATCTCAATGGCTTACACTCAAAACTAGTCTCTCTTACATTTAGAGAGTAAGGGGAAGGCTGGGGATGACCATTGCTCCGGGTTAACAGGGACAGCCGTGCTAGGTTGTTGTTTAAAAAAAAAAAGGAACTGGTCAGGGTAGTAGGAATCTCAATGGCTTACACTCAAAACTAGTCTCTCTTACATTTAGAGAGTAAAGGGAAGGCTGGGGATGACCATTGCTCCGGGTTAACAGGGGTTAAAAGGCAACTTACACTCAAAACTAGTCTCTCTTACATTTAGAGAGTAAAGGGAAGGCTGGGGATGACCATTGCTCCGGGTTAACAGGGGTTAAAAGGCAACTGTAATCACTAATAATCAACCGACTTCTTGAGAAATAATATGAAAGTATTTTTTTAAGAAAATATTCTATCAAAAAGAATTCACACTATTGACATCAAGACCACTTGATAATCTAGAATCAGTTTAGTTAAAGCTAGATTAGGTCTTTGAAAGAAAAAAAAATTAAAAGACCTCCCTTTCTTTTAGCCCTTTACTACTCTGGCCAGCGTGAAACTTAGCATCATATTTCTTGGCACGGTGCCAGATGACTTTACCAACTAAATAACTCGTAGCCACAAAATGTTTTACATTTATGCACTAACATAAAGGTGGCAAACTAGATTTGAATGTAACACAAATGACAACAACAAAACACAAAAATCAGGTCATGTAAGTGGAAGCTAACCCTCGCAGTAGTTTAGCCTTTTCTAACTCTGGTTGAAGTGGAATTTGATCTCTGATCTCTTGACCCCCTGCCAGATAACTTTACCAATTAAAATAGTTGGCATCCAAAACTTTTTAACTTTTCGTGTTCGATCTGAATTGAACTCAAATCCCAACAATAAATCTGAAAAATCAAATCATATGATTGCAAGCAGAAGACACATCTATTCAAATAAAATAATTGATGTCAATTCTGTTTTTGTGTGTGTGCTTGTAAACACCTCATTTTTTGTTTTACTTGTTGGAAATAATTTCTCCTCAATTCAGTTACAGAGACATGACCATTTTGTTAGGTTGGGTGGCGGAAATAAAATGGGAAAACATGCTAGAAAGACAAAAGGAGGGAGAGGATACTTCGATCAATATTACTGCAGACACACTTCAAAAGGTCTTTAACAGGTTGAGCCAAGCCTTAAGCTGCCAAAACTTGGTTCATCTGTGTTGCTATTCATCTCGAGTTTTATTGAGCCTATCTGGAACTGAGCTTGAGTAGTTTAGCATCATACAAGTAAAATACAAAGTTCATCTAAGCAGTGGGACAATAAATTAATCAGTTTAACTAGTGCTAAAGAACTGGTTATTTGCTTTCAGAACTGATGTCAAACAAAGCTATAGCTGATTGGCTCAATTTTATGGACTTACCAATAAGGACTGGTTTCATCAGGTAAGAAAAAAATATTGATTATGTCAAGGCTAGATTAGTTATTTGATCTACCATAACAGTGATATTGATGAACGAGCAACTTGTAATATAACAAATGACAGTAAACCAATTACTAATCTTCTTCTAAAAAATCATGTCAATTTTATTCCTCCAACAAGCATCTCCAGAGAAGGATTCATTATCAAATTCCTATTGTGATTCCATGAGTAGTGGCCACTAGCTGAATCCCATGCTGTGCAATTGTACTCGCAGCCATTGCTTCAAGTTTTGTCCCGATTTCATCTATCACACTCACTCGGGGCATATGATTTTCTACTTCCTTTATGAATACCTAAGCATTAGAATCTTAGTAAGCACTCACAAGCTGGTAAATTATTGATTAATAAAATGATAAAATAAAGCGTCAAGGTCTCAAGATCAGGAAATTAAAAAAAAAATGGCATCATACTGCGAACCAAACTAAACCAAATTACATATTGCTGATTGTAGAATGATCATATGCCAATTACTAATAAGAATTACATGCTTCGGAGATTTCATTTGCCAAAGCGATAACCTACGTAATATACTTATTAAAACCAGTCATGTCACATGCACTAATTCAACAAGAGATATAATTAACGCAGAAATACTTTCTAAACATCACAAGCACGAAGCTTTTACATTCCACGAAAGTCTGGGCAATATCCTTTCTCATATATAGAATACGAAAGACACAAACATCATCCTAAAATAACATAAATTATAATCCAAAAACCTAGCAGGAAAGAATAACAAAACAATCCGAAAACCTGTGAAGTAGCATGCTGGGGACCCTAAAGGGTGATGGGACAATCCGATAAAACAAAGTCCCCAGATGGAAATCTCGCTAGTGGCTTCCCACCCAAACCCATGACCACCTCAACCACGTCATAAAGCTCCCGGTGAAGGAGGAACTGAAGAATTCGAAATCGAAAGAAACCCACAAAATTTTTTGGAGAGAACTAAAGGGTTCCGGTGAGTGAAAAGGGAGGCAGAGGTAGATGGCGTGGGATTAGTAGCAGAGAAAAACAAAGCATTTGACTTTGGCGGGGATTGAAATACAAATTAACATTTTTTTCCAGCTTCTGCGGTGGATGGATGATGGATATGAATGAGAATGGAATTAGCGGTGGTGAAGGGTGTGTCCTCTCTTAAGATTTTCTGGGTTTTGGGTTGCCACTATGTAAATTCATTGATTTTTTTCTTCTGTTTTCGGGATTTTGTCAGCCAGTCTTGAGGTCGGTGAAAGAAAATTATAACGGGTGATGATGTTCAGATTTTGAGGTGATAGGATTCTTCAGGGATTTTACGGTTCTATGGAGTTGTTTCTGGGAAATCAAGAACATTTGAATTTCAGAAGATTTCTAGGTCTTTTTATCCTATGTGGGCTGATTATTTTTTTTAAGAAAAAAAATTGAGTTTGTGGGTGCCAAGTGGTATTATTAAATTTATAGAGTTTGGAGGTTTACGGTTTCTCTGTGCAGTTATTCTCTCATTAATTGTGTAGATGACATTGTTCAGCTTCGCAAGAATTTCCTCGAGCAGAAATATTTAGCTTTCCATTTGTGTTCGTAAGTGCTTGTGTTCTTAAAGTTTATGACGAGGTTAGGGCTTAACAAAAACTTACAACGTTGCTGATGTTGTCGGTACCTTCTTAAAAAAATAACTTTTTAAAAATATAATATAAATGTAGATTATAAAGTTAGATCCTAAAAATATAAAATTATAAATATTTTTTTAAATTAATTATATATTAATAATTCTAGTAAAGAAATTAATTTATATTAAAATCTGATAAAATAAATCGATAACATTATAATCCATGAATGATTTAAATAAAATAAGAAAAATAGATAGTATAAATCAATAAATTAATAATATAAAAAAAAATTAGAATAAAATTTCTAGAGAAATTAATAAATAGTAGGAAGTACAAATAATTCTAGTAACATATTGTTCTCATCACAACAAGTCTTAATAGATCATTTTTAGATTACAAATTATGAGTTTAAATTAATAATTAATTAATACAAATTTAATAATGAAATAAACTCTTAAATAATATCTAATGCACTAGAAAAAATCAAATTAAAAATAATTATTTAAAATTAAATAAATAAATAAATAAAATAATAAAAAAGATCTTTATGTTAAAATTCCTCTATGTAACTTCAATCTTTAATTTTTGTATTTTCTTGGTACATTTGAATCCTGATTTCAAACATGTCATTCTTTCTCATTTGGATGAATTATTGGGTCTACGATATATAGTTGGAACGTTTCAAATGTTTAGTTTTTATCCCGACTTTAATTGAAGCAAAATTACATCGGTAACTCTAGATATATCTCAAACAATACACGAAAGTCTTGTTTGATATATTTGACAATATTAGTTTGCTAGCTTTAACCCTATGAAATATTATGTTTCTTATCTCTATTTAACCAAAAAATTTACCACAATATATTTTTCATGTATTTAATATTTTCTTATAAAATTTCAGTTTTATTTAATATACGGTTTGAAAAATATGCTCAATCTCGGAAAATTAGTCAATAGATATTTTAAAATCAAATTTGAACATGAAGTGGTTTATATCATAAATTTAGTAAATTCATAAAATCAAACTAAGTTTACTGAGTTTATTAATTTTACTGATTTTGCATGAGTTAAGTCTAATTTTACTGGTTTCGAGCTTTTAGTCCTATTTAGCATGTTAGATACATGTTGGCCGTAAAATCGTAAGATTTTAAGAGTTAACTTATGATTTTAACAACCTTGGTTGGTACCATTATATTTGTCTCTAAGATCTTACTATTACTTCTTTAATTAATGTAATGGTTTGATCCTTATTCATAATTTTATCTCGTTTGCTGGCATTTTACTTTTTATTCTATTAGTTTTCTTTGGTGGTTATTGTAACAATTGGGTACCCATTCAAGGAAAAGAAAAAAAATGGCTGCATCAGTGCCTCCTCTAAATAACTTAGATGATGGTTATAAATGGAATGGCAGGGAATTGTATAGCTATACCTTTTTAAATTTGTTGTGCTTAACTCAATTTATATTTGTGCTAAATATATAAAATAATATAAACTTTAACAATAAATAATATAAAGAGAAATTAACACAAACTATAAGTAATAAAAAAGATAGAAAAGTTTTTAGAAGGTAAAAAGTTAATGCATAACCAAGACAATCAAAGTGGAATCCAAATCAAAGTTTGTCCATTACATTTTTGGTCAAGTCAAATAATATAAATCTCGCATCTTGTCAAACCTCAGATGCTAGATTCAAAAACTTTAGGTCTAGCACCTTAGATTTGCATAATTTTTATGAGCCAAGTAAAGGTAATGGTTTTGTTGATGACCAAAATACTTATGCAAATATATTGAATGGTCTTGAGACATCTAACTAATAATTCCTTATGAACTTCTAATGTATTATTAAGAAAAAAGCAATATCTTTATTAAATACTCTTGAATTTTAATAAATAGATGCAGAATTTAAACTAAACTCTATTATATTGATTACAATAGTTAGATACATGCATGTGCTCTTACAACTTTAAAAACCTTTAATCAAGAACAAATAAAAATTAATCTTAAAAACTTCTCTTATTAACAACGCAAAGATATACTTATTGTCCTCTAATAAAATGTTGATTCAGTATACTCAAAGTTATTGTATTCTGCCCATTAATTTGTTATACAAAGTTTATGTTATACATCTTTAATCCTCTTAATATTATTAAAAAAACAACAAAAACATATAATTAGATCTTTGAAAAAAAAATCCCACATTTGATGTTAGAACCTATAAAGTCCATTACTTTTCCTTACAATTTTATAGGTTTGATGGTGAGATCAAGAATGTTCTTATTAGACACATCCATTTTGTTAATAAAAGAATAATTAATCACATCAAACTCTTACGAACAGACAAAAGCAAACCACATAATTTTCTTACTATTAATCATATCATAAAATTTTATACTCTTCTTGTTGTCTTCTTTTCTCCATCGCGACTCTATTCTCTTTTCTATCAATTTGGTGCCCTCTTCTCTTCCATTTCTTTTATCAATTTGGTTGAGAAGAAGGAGAAGGACTGAATACAGGAAGCACCATCTTTGCTTGGGTTTGGCTTGGTTATCAGACTTATAATGCTTAGGTCTGGCATGATTACTAGATCAAAAGCTCTTAGGCTTAAAATGGTTACCAAACCCAAGGCTTTTGGGTTTGGCGTGATTATCAAATCCAAATAGCTTGAGTATGATGTCTAGAATTTACATAATTTTCATGAGCTAGATAAAGGTAATGGTTTTGTTAAGGACCAAAATACCCATGCAAATATATTGAATGGTCTTAAAACATCTAATTAATACTGCCTTATGAGCTTTTAATGTATTGTTAATAAAAAAACAACAAATACGTCTGCTAAACACTCCTAAATTTCAATAAATAGATATAGAATTTAAGCTAAACTCTATTATGTTGATATCAATTGTTAGATACATGTTCGCGCTCTTGCAACTTTAAAAGACTCTAATCAAGAATAAAGAAAAATTACTCTTGCAAGCTTCTTTCGTTAACAATGTAAAGATATACTTATTGTCCTCTATTAAAATGTTGATTCAATATACTTAAAGTTCTCTTGCTTTGCCTATTAATTTGTTGTCCAAACTTTATGTTACCTATCTTTAATCCTCCTAACATTATTAAAAAAAAAATGTTAGATCTTTGGAAAAAATCTCATTTCTGATATTAGAACCCATAAAGTCCACTATTTTTCCTTATAAATTTATGGGTTTGATGGTGAGATCAAGAATGTTCTCATTAGATACATCCATTTTGTTAATGGAAGAATAATTAATCACATCAAACTCTTACGAACAAATAAAAGCAAACCACATAATTTTCTCACCATTAATCATACCATAAATTTTATACTCTCTTTATTGTCTTCTTTTCTTCATTGCGACTCTGTTCTCTTTTCTATCAATTTGGTGCCCTCTTCTCTTCCATTTCTTTTATCGATTTAATTAAGAAGAAGGAGAAGGATTAAACACAGGAAGCACCATCTTCTCTTGTGTTTGATATAGTTACTAGACCCATGATGTACGGGTCTAACATGGTTGCTAGACCCAAGTATTTGCATAATTTTTATTTTGGTGACATGACTAAAAAATTGATGTCTTCTCTCAAGTGCAGAAGTGTCGAAGTAATAAATAACCCGACAAGACTAAGGTCGAACTACAAGAAGGTTAATTGTATAAATTATAAATAACAGCAACATAACAACAATAACAATAACAACAATAACAACAATAATATTAATAATAGTAATAGAAATGGTAGTAGTAGTAGTAATAGTAATAAAAGAAGAAAAAGAAAAAGAAGCTTATGAGAACTTTGAGATGGAAAATCAATATAAGGATTAAACAATGATAACAATAAATGTTAAGGTTAGAGGATCCACTAATGATATTTCAAACAAGTATAGTATAAACTCTTTTTATTACTTAATTGGAAACTACATACAAAGGAGGTTCCAATCAGATTATAAATAGTTAACATGATTATATTAATTATCTTATTCGAATAATGCTAATACTTGTAAATGTTGTCAGGCATTCATGATTATAGCTTATGTTAACAACAAATCAAGTTTCTTTCATAGCACAGGTGTAGGTTATATCATACGGTTAGGCAATACGCTAGGTATTCGTTGTCCAAGTGTTATACAACATAAATCTAAATTAATTATTTAACAAGCAAAGTATTAAATAGTAAACAAGATAACAAATATAAAACATATTAGTATCAAACATTAAAGTCCATATTGAATTTACACTATATTTATTCTTACACCATTAGTGTAACCCTTTTACCTTGACATATAAACTTAACTAAACATAATGAAAAAGAGAAACATAAATAAACAAGATAAGAACATAAATAAGATAAAAGTTAATTAAGTTAAAAAAAGGAAATGAAAGGCATAAATAAAATATTAATGAAAGCAAAATATAAGCAATACAAAGAGAGAAAGTAAAAGTATGATCTTGATTTGGAAACCAAGATGCCTAAATGCATGGTAAATACCTCCTTTCATAAGCTAAGATTGGGAACTATTGATTTGATAACTAATTGATATGTGAGTGGTCAACTCTTGACTTAGTGATAATCATTATCTTCTCTTGTCTGCCTAAAATATCATTGATAATGTCAAAATTGGAACCACTTAAAAACATGAAAAGTTCTAGGAAATTGTCTCAACTTTCCAAGAAGCAAAAAATTAAGGTCATTTGAACTTTTAGAACTCTAGATATGGACCAAATACTGAACAGTGTTCGGGCTGCAGGACAGATTCAGACTTCTTCGTTATTGCTATAATTTGGACTTGAAAATGGCATTTTCAAATCTTGGGCTCCTATAAAAGTTATAGGCATATGTCTTACCTTTCCATTTATATAAAGTAGACCTAAATCTAAGATCTACAGCTCCAGATATGACTCAATTATTGAACAGTGTTCTGGTTTGGACTGCACCACCATCTCTTTTTTAAGTTTA